AAAAAAAAAAAAAAAAAAAAAAAAAAAAAAAAAAAAAGAAAGAAGTCTGCTGGGCTGTGCTCAGAATGGCACAGGGCCCATGGCTGCCCTGAAAGTTGTGGACAGCCATAACAGTGCGTTTGCGAGAATTTATTTTAGCTTTTGGGCGTGAAACGTAAGGGGGGAGGGACCATTAGGTTGATGTAACTGGGTTGATAACTGCACTGATGCAGAAGCTGGAAAGTTGTTTCTAAGTCAGGAGCCTACTCTAAAGGGAAGGGGGGAGGGGAGGGGAGGCGGTGGGCGGCACCACTTTGTACTTGGATTTGTCTAAAGTGGCGCTGGTTATGTTGCAGATCTATTACCCTCAAACAGATTGTGAACAACCTGCCCAAGCAATCAAGTGCCCCAGTGTGATAAATTCAGTCTCTGCCACGAGTTTTCCTTCTTGCCTTCCCCTAAGGTGACATAGTGACTTCCTCCCATCTTTTGATTTTTCTTCCTCCAGTTTATTTCCTTTGTCACTGTCTCTGCCACTCACACCCACTTAGCTTAAGGATCACTCTAACAGCAAGTGCTGAATTATTATAAATAAAAGGAGACAGCTTTTTCTGTGCAGGGATCCCTAAGTATGAACCTACCTATGCAATGACTTACAGAGTACTAAGCTTCTCACCATTCCTGCAAAGACTGCTGCTACATTTCGAGGCATTTTGTTTTTTTTTCTGTGATTGTTTAACCACACTAATGGAGGAACTGCTAGTATAGTGAATTTGAAAAATGTACAGGAGAAGAGTGAGGGAAAGGATTTCTGATGCAAACTGAAGAGCGTTGAGGACTAAAGTGGGAAAAGGATAATGGGGAAGGAGGGTGAGAGCATGTAAATTAGGGTCATCTGATTTACAGAGCATGTAATCAATAGTCATCTTCACTGGACTAGAGTTGAGGGGATTCTGTTTTTCTGTTAATTGCCCAGGCTGAATTTCCTGATTGAATCCTTCCTAAATGCAAATAACAAATTATTGTATTTAGAAGACTTATTAGTGTAATGATTCTATGATTTGTCCATTTATGTGCAATCTGCTAGTGGGTACTATGCCTCCCTTCTATGTCTCTTTTGAAGTTTCAGAGCCCCGCTTGTTGTTTTATACATGGGTGACCAAACTTAGGGATGTTGGTGGGATGGTGCTGATGCACAGCATGGACTGAAAATGCTCACTGGGGAGGAGGCATAAAGAGGGCTTCAGATGCAAATGCCCAGAGCTCTCTAGGTTGGAAGAAACTGTTGGGAGGACTGTGTAGAGCAGAGGGTCTCCAAAGTCCGTAATATCTTCTGTCTATTTATCTCTTAGCATGAAGCTTCTGAGGGACTCACACCACTATTGTGCTGCTCCAGACAGGTAGGAGATGGCAGTTTTCCCAAACTCCTGCCTCCGAGGTCTGCTCATCCTTACTCTTCTGCAGCTTCTCGATTCAGGTAGGTCTTCCTTCTCTCTCTGTCTTTCTCTCTGTCTCCCTGCTACTGGGTTGAATCATTTCTCTTTCTGTAAATATGAACAGTCCGGGTGATTCTTCCCAGTGATCCCCGGAGGGATCCAGATGGATGCCTCAAGATAAGCAATAAGAGAAACAGCAGAAGAATTCTGTTCTTTGGCTGGGCGTAGTTTCTTTCAGTTCCCAATTCCCATCTCTACATTCTGTCAAGTCCCACTCATTTTGTTGCAGCTCACTTTGATGTAATTGGACCCCCAGAACCCATCCTGGCCTTGGTGGGTGAATATGCTGAACTGCCCTGTCACCTATCCCCAAATGTGAGTGCTGAGCACATGGAATTGCGGTGGTTCCGAAATACATTCTCGCCGGCTGTTTTGGTGCACCGGGATGGGCGAGAGCAACAGAAAGAGCAGATGTCTGAGTACCAAGGCAGGGTGATTCTGGTGGAGGACGGTATCTCCAAGGGGCATGTTGCTGTGAGAATACTCGGCGTCATGGCCTCTGATGCTGGCATCTATGGATGCTCCTTCAGTTATAAAGAAGCCCACAAAGAAGCCTTCCTGCATCTGAAAGTCGCTGGTGAGTGCACAGGTTTTGACATTTTCATTGACACCATGGAGTATGGGAAAGTGCTTTGTAACATTTAAAGCATAACAGAATCCTAAATTATTATCACTGGTCACAACGTGCTAAAAAATATAATCTGTAAATACTTAGGGCCTTTTCACCATGAGAACTGTGGACCCTCTGGTGGCAGCTTGTGTAGTGCATGTGCTTGTACTTGTAGGGGGGGAGAAACATCTTGAAGATTGCTTTTAAAATCTTGGAGACCTGTAGGATGTAAGAGTGTTTTTTTTATAAGTCACAGACCTAATTTTAAAAATGCTACAGTCTGTTAACTATTGTCAGAGAAACGTACATTCTTTTATACAGACATGAACCTGGCAAGTGCCTCATGATGATCTTGCCTATCTCTCAAAGCCTCTTTAAAGCCTTCTCCCCCCACTTCCAACAACAGGGCTCTTTCTGACAGCTGAAGCTCCCTATGTGGACCACTTAGCCATCTGTAAGCCATTGGTCTTGCTGTTCCCTCTGCCTGCAAGAGCCCTTGTCATGTGTGGCCATCAAACTCCTATTTGCATGTCAAAGAGCACCTCAAATGCCCATCCGTCCTTTAAGGAATTGGCTTTTGCCTGATCTCAAAATGGCATCCTTTTGATGAGGTGTGTGGAATATCATTTTGTTGATACTGTTACTGATTGTGCATGCAAGATTTTCCCTCTTGGTGTTGCTTAAGCCAATGAAACAAAACCGAGTTCAGTTCAACAAAACAAAGGCTTTATTCCATTGTCAGGGAATAGAGAGATGCATGCCCATGCTCTGGCAAGTCACACTCTCTCTGAAGTGGTGTTAGGCTTGGGTTGTTAAATCTAGCTTGGGGAGGTATCTGTGGTATAGGTGGGAATATTTGGGGCACGTGCTGTCCATCTCTCCTTGCATTGGCACTGCTAGTTGCCTTGCTGACAGATGTCTCTGCCCTACCAGTCTTTGTTTCCTATAGGCAAACACAGCTACCCTTGACTAGTGGTTGCTTAGGTGACCATTTTTGCTCTCTCTTTACAGCAGTAGGGGACATCGACATTCATTTCTATAAGCAAACACTGAGTTTCCCCTTTTTACAAGAGCTATAAAGCTGATTATTGGCCTCTGACCTTCCATTCCTGTAAGCAAATATACCTTAAAGGAAAAAAAAAATTAACACTTCCACATTCCTTTATAGTTTACCTGGGGGTGTCCTGCTGACAATACTTCAGTTTCCTTTGAAAAGAGAAATGAAGATGTTTCTACTCCTAGTTTTCCTGGGTTACTATGTGTCTCCCTTGTTACAAACATTGTAGCCCTATTGTTATAAGGCTCCAATAAGTGTGTCCACTGAAAGATTAAGAACAGATTCTGTCACCATAGCTCTCGGCTCTGACCCTCACATCCATATGGAAGTTGAAAAACGTGGAGAGATCCGGCTGGAGTGCACCTCAGTGGGATGGTACCCAGAGCCCCAAGTACATTGGAGAACTTCTAAGGGACAGAAGTTTCCATCCACATCAGAGTCCAGGAATCCCGATAAAGAAGGCCTGTTCATGGTGGCTGCTTCACTGATCATCAGAGATACCTCCGTGGAGAACGTGTCCTGCTGCATCCAGAACCTCCTTCTTGGGCAGGAGAAGGAAGTGGGGATTTCCATTCCAGGTCAGTGGAACCAGTGCTGAGTTCCTATGTTGAAACAGCTTAAGAGTCACACAACATGGGACACCTGCCCAGATGTGACCTCATGGCGGAGTCGTTCACTTTTTCCTTCTCAGCTCCACAAAGTCTCCTGCATGATGTCTTGAGGGAGCTCCCCAGAATTTCACAACATGTATAAGGATTCTGAAGGTACAAACTCTATACACCTCAGAGAGATTACAGTTTTGGGTGCTTATGAAATACATCTAAATTAGAAAAGCTAGTCAATGGGTGTTGTCCATTTCTGATACAGAGAGTCCTTTTTCTGAATAGCCAGAACACTTATATTATTTTTCTAGTTTCCAAATAATCATCAACTCTCACTGTTTGTTAGACCTTTCTCAAGTTGCCAGGGTCCTCAATGAAGCAGGTTACCTCATTTATTCCCCAGATACTACCTCTGATTTAGGCAGCAGCGTCTCGTGTCTAGTTTACCTGTTTGTTATTTCACTGTCCCTTTCCCCTGTAGTTTTCACCAATTCTTGTGTCTTCTTCTCTGCACTCTCCTTCCACCCTAGGAATCTGTTTGCTTTCAGAGAGGCCTTACTTTTAAGTAATAATATACTCTTTCTTAAAATCGTTCTCTGAGTAGAGATCACTATTCATTCAGATTTCTAACAAGTAAACAAGTCTTTCTCCTTCCATTTGCCTTCAGCCTCTCAGGTGACTACTAACCCTCACTGACTCTCCACATTTCATTGAAACCCCACAGAAGGTTCTTCAGTGATTTCCCTAATTCAGTTCAATTCCATTCTGCTCCTTATCTTTTTTGATTCACCTGATCCTGATAACCATCCTTTTCTAGAAACTGTCTCCAAATTTTCATCTAAAATATTTTATGTTTGTTATTCTCTTTGGCCAGTAGCTTTTATGATTTTTCTTTCTGCACCCCTTTGTAATCATTCCTCAAGAGTCCACTTTCTGCATCTTTCAGTTTCCCCCTCTGGTAATCACCTTCCCCTTCAGTCCTCTCCCTTCCCTGTAGGCTGGGGTGTGTGCTGACAATCCCATCAAGCTTTAGTCTTTTGGTGACCAGTCCCTTCCAGAAAATATTTAGGGGCCCCACAGTCTCAAATCATAACATGAAGATTTAAAAGACAGTCTATCACCACAGAGATTCCAAAAATTTTAGGAGCTGTATGTCAGGAACTGAGGAGGAAAATGAAATACAAATATCATAATGTCACGTCCTCTTACATCCCTTCACCATCCATAGGAGAGCCATCCTACAGATTTACATGGCACTGAAACATCAGAGGTCAACTGTTCAGATCCTCTTACTGACCAGCCACCATAAATAAAGAAATAAAGAAGTACGTAGCACGCATATGAAGATGGTTTTCAGAACTGTATCTTTCATTCCAATCTCTTTGCTGAGGGCCAGTACCACACTTCCAGCTGCCTGTTGGCTGTCTCTCACCCCTGTGTCTTCTAGCCTAGCTGTTCATTACTTTTGGATGTTAGATGAACCATATACCACTTTCCTTCTCTCTACCTTTTTGTTAAAACTTACATTAAAATTCTAGAAAAGGATGGCATTAATCTCAAGTTGTCATCTCCCGCAGAGTGACAGAGATGCAAAAGATTTCTCAGAGTCCGTGTATTCAGAGCAATGAGAAACCTGAAGGGACTGCACCCACGCCAAACTCCTTCAAGAGAGGAGAGCCCAGGCACAGCCCCGAGTCAGGTTTTGCTTCAGTTTTTATTGTAAAGACCAGAAAGTTAGAGAAGAAACACAGGTGGTTAATCAATCATAGTGAAGACATAAACAAACTGGCTACATGGCAATTTTCAATAAAGCGGGTGTAATTTAAAATGGTTCAAGCAATTTACCATCAGAAGCTGTAAAACGTACAAAGAGAAACAATGAAATAATCACCGTAGCAGCACTTAGCTCCCCAAGAAACTCAAAGAAATAGCTGAGGGTAAGATGTGAAATGTCCCCCAACCACTAACTAGCAGAATATCCTTGAAGATTTTAGCTCACATACTTCCCCATCATTTAGGTTTAGTTGCACCAAGGGCAAAGGCCCCCAGAGCATGCACTTTTTGCTGTGCTTCAATTCTCTTCTCTACTTCAAAGACTTTAGTCCTGTGAAAGTTTTCTGGTCTTTCCTAATCTTAGCATTTCTACATGTTTCCTAAAGAGTTGGGCTTTGGCTTAAGCTAAGGACTTTGGTCCTTCTACACTAGAGGCTAGACTAAGGACTTTGGTCCTCTTCACTCCAGGACTTTGGGCTTTCTATGGTATTAGCTTTGGCCCTGTGGAGTACATGTGTTTTATTTCTGTCTCGTTAATGTCAGTATCCTCCCCATCAAGTGTACAGCTTGATGAATTTTTAGGTATTACATCCAGTTTTCACTAACCAGATTTGAATTTTGGTAATTCTTGCATGGGTGGGAAGTGAAGCTACTAGTATGTATTTTTTTTAAATTAAATGTTTTATTTTGAGATCATTTTAGATTCACATGTAAATGTAAGACATAATACAGGAGAGAGAGACAGCTCCCCCTAATTACTGTGTCAGGTTTTCTATTGGTTGTACATATTATATAGATTAGATTGCTACTAGGTTACATCCCACATGCAGGAATCTAGGGTAAGGTATATAAGGAGAATCTTAGGTTATTTTATGGCTTTCTGGTGCCATTATGGCTGCTTCTAAGTAAAATAGTCTCGTGATAATGTTTTGTAGGACAGGAGGACATGATCACTGACTTATCCCAGGTATCCCAAGGCACTGTAATTTAGCTGATCTGGTCAGAGCAGATTTTTTTTTTTTAAATCATTTCCTCCCTTTTGATCAAAAATCTTTCATATGAAAGCATTGATGATCACCTCAGGTAGAAATTCTGATCCCTCATTTGTGGGAAGGCTGCTTCCCAAAAGTCATGCTCACCTTCCTTAGACTTCCTTAGACTTAGGTCTAAGTCCAAATTTTAAACAACGAGGGAGTTGGGATAGGATGGTCATTAGATCCTTCACTCTGGGCAAACCTGGAAAAATAGATAGCTGAATTTGTTGCACAAGTTGTGCCCTTGGGCAAAAGAGTGTACTCAAAAATGGCAAGAGAACTTGAAAAAAAAAAGTAAGGGCACTTTACAACTTAAACTTGGTAGTAGGTTTAACTTAGCATAGGCCTGGGAAAATAAAGCAAGAATTCAACTTTGTATGTAGTCTTCAGGCATATTATGGCTTGGCTAGAATGCAAACTAAGAGATAAGACGTACAGACTGACAAAAGCCGAAGACTAGAAGATTTCCCCAGAGTAAAATGTAAAAGTCCAAACATTTCAGCAGTGTTGATCATGGACTTGTCATCAGGTCAGGCTCAGAGTCTTGGAGAAAATGCTCAGATGCTGTAGGTGTCTGGCTATGGGTTAGTTTCAGTTGAGGATCCTCAGTAATGTAGGAGGTCCACTCATTTTTAATGAGAACTTTGCCATTTTTGAACGAGAAACATGAATCCATGAGTAAATGTCTTTAAGCTTAGTTGCACAGGGATTGGTTAACAATACATGACGTAGTGTCCTTTAATGTGACTGGAAAGAGTACTTTTATTTGATGACATTTTTTTTTTCTGTCTTTTTCGTGACTGGTAAGGGGATCACAACCCTTGGTGTGGGGTCGCCCACACCGCGCTCAACCGGTGAGCGCACCGGCCATTCCTATATAGGATCCGAACCCGCGGCGGGAGCATCGCTGCACTCCCAGCGTGGCACTCTCCCGAGTGCGCCACTGGGTCGGCCCATTTGATGACATTTTTAATAAGCAAAGTCTCTGGGAGACTTTGGTCTTTGATGTCTGCATCTCACAGAAGCTTGCTGTGGTAGGAATCTAATTAATTTAGAAGTTTTGAAGAAGAAAAAAAAAATTTTTTTTTGGCAAGGACCTTTATAAGGCCTTGGCAGTAATGGAAAATATCACCTTTAAGAAGAGCTGGAGAGCCGGCCCATGGCTCACTTGGGAGAGTGTGGTGCTTATAACACCAAGGCCACAGGTTTGGATCCCTATATAGGGATGGCCGGTTAGCTCACTTGGGAAAGCGGGGTGCTGACAACACCAAGTCAAGGGTTAAGATCCCCTTACCGGTCATCTTTAAAAAAATATATAAATAAAAATAGATGAGCTGGAAAAGCTGATTGATAAAGTAGTTTATCTAGGCATGTAGATCTACCCTTTATTATTTTAAAGGGAAAAAGCTGATAATTTGTAAATTGGGTAGAACGCAAGTTATGCAATACCAGTGGAAGAGCCCTTGGCCATGTATTGTAAATGGACTGAATTATTTGACCAGTGAAACATATTTCTCGATCATTGTGGAGCCCAGAGGAAAGTCATCAGGAAGGGATATTTGCCAACTCAAGATTTTAGTGCAGATAATAAAAACTCAAAAATAATGGACAGGGCTAATATCTAATAACAGATACACTGTAGTTTTTTTGTAAAACATCATTTTTCTCTCCTTGATCTCATCTTTTTACCAAAGATACGAGAAGACTGATTCATTTGTAAAATAAGTTTAGTCTCTGGCCTGATTATTTGCATAAAGTGCAGTAAGAATAGTGATTTACCATATTGGTACCTTTTTAATTGGCTTTGTTAGTACTTTTATCAGGAACGTTAGATTAGAACTTTAAGAGTCCCTAAAGGCTTAGGAAGCCAATGTACAGATCTGGTTTCCTTTCAGATTGTACCTGTGGGAATTGGGTGAATTCTCCTCTTCTGGAGGTTCTCGGCAGAAAGTGACATTCTTTTTTTTTTTTTTTTTTAAAGATGACTGGTAAGGGGATCTTAACCCTTGGCTTCTTGTTGTCAGCACCACGCTCACCCAGTGAACTAACCGGCCATCCCTATATGAGATCCGAACCCGTGGCCTTGGTGTTATCAGCACCACACTCTCTCGAGTGAGCCACGGGCCTGCCCCAGAACGTGACATTCTTTATTTACTGTGAGGCCAGGAACCTTGTAAAGGAACATGTAGTCGAGGTTCCAGGCCAGTCTTTCTGTAAGTCCATTGGCTTTATAAAGTCACTCTCAGTCCTTTAAAGCAGACTGGTCCTATCTGAAGATATATCATTCTAGTCAAAGCCTTGGTAAGATAACCAGTGTTTTCAGTTGTGTCCTGCTACAAGAAGAAGAGATTCTTATTGAACTTATGTAAATAATTATATTGTCACAAAATAAGAAAACTTATGAATAGTTTTAAAATTCTTGAGGAATCAAGTAGAGAGAAATGTAAATGTTTTAATTTTGTTTATCAAATATACTTTACCAAATTGCTGTAAAGCTATAAATAGCCCAAAAGAAAAAAGGATTTCCTTAAATCTGGAAAACAAACAAAAATAATCAACAATATTTTAAGAAGTCATAAAAATAATTTTAGTTTTTTGTCAGTTTAGTCTCATGTAATTAATTTTTGTTTTGTTTGATTTTAGGTTAGCATTTTATGAGTTCACTTTTTTTTATTGGAATTTGAAGTTGTTTTTTTTTTTTTACCTAGTCCAGTTGGTTAATGTCAAAGTCATCAGCAAAGGTCTATATTTTAAAGTAACTGTTAGAGTCTTTTTACCCTTTTTATGGACTTCTCGGAAGACACAACTTTAGGATTATAGTTGTTTGTAGAGATCTTTTAGAGGAAGCACCAGAGTAAAGGACTTTACTGTGAACAATGAAGACAAAATACCCATAGTTAATGACATAATTGACAAAGAAATTTGATTATTTTTATGGCCTACAACAGTTGTACAAAATACCCATAATTATGACTGATAACATATACCCAGACATATTATATATTTAGATATTTTATATAACTGTGGAATGCATCTTGATAACATACTCATATAAACATAAAATTACGTATTTTGAAAAAAACCTTAAATGGTTCTTTGTTTTTTATTTTTATTTATTTATTTATTTATTTTTATTTTAATTCATCAATATACAATGTAGTATTGGTATTCGTGTTCCCATACCTATTCTTCCTTTTCCTCCCTCCTCTCCCCACTCCCCATGCTCCCACCATCAAAATCATATCTGTTCACTTGCCTTAACAAGATCAAGGAATTGTTGTGATTATTGTCTCTTTTTCCCCATCCCTTCGTTTATTTGTATATTTACTTATTTATTTTGATTAGCTCCCACAAGTAAGCGAGAACATGTGGTATTTCTTTTTCTGTGCCTGGCTTATTTCAGTTAATATAATTTTCTCTAAATCCATCCATGTTGTTGCAAATGGTAGTATTTCATCTGTTTCTGGTTTTAATATCTGAGTAATACTAGCTTTATAAAATGCATTAGGGAGCTTTCCTCCCTCTTCTATTTTCTGCATGTAATTGAGTAGAATTGGTGTTAATTCTCTTTTAAATATTTGGTAGAATTCACCAGTGAAACCATCTACCATGGAGAATTTTGTTTGGGAATTTTAAAAATACGAATTTAATTTTCTTAGTGGTTGTAAATCTATTCAAGTTACCTATTTTACATTCAGTGAGTTATGGTAGTTTATTTTTTCAGGAATTGGTGCATTTCATGAGTTGTCAAACTTGTTTTCAAAATTGCTCATAGTATTCTCCTTCTTAGTGTTTGGGCTCAGAAAATGATACCCCAAAGTATGGCACCTTGGCATTCTGAGTTCTTTGAACTAATGGAGATTGGAAGCCTCAGCAGCAAGTTCTTCCTGACCTTCTGCTGCCCTCCTGTCTCCCACCCATCACTCTTCCCAAAGCAAGTCACACAAATCAGAATTCCTCTTCTTCAAGGTGGGTCATAGACACTAGAACTCCTCTCCCCCAAAGCAAGCCATAAAACCTAGAAATCTTGCTCTCTCCCTTCTCCTTTGAAGACCTTCACTCCAGAGAGGTTCTGCCCCATACCCGGGAGGAAGGAATGCTGTGCAGAGGGGCCAAGCGGAATCCGAACACCCAGGCCTTGCTGGGTTTCCCCTCTTCAGTCTATTACCATTAGATCACGTTTTTTTTTCTAAGCACATTTCTACACAACGGTCCCTTCTTCATCAAACCTAAGCATAAAAGTAGTTTTCCAAGTCTTTGGGTCTTTATTTCTGAAGTCTCCCATGTAATGTAAAACTTTGATTAAATACACGTGTCAAGCTTTTCTTTTGTTTCTGTTGTTACAGGAGTGTTGCTGTCACCCTTATGGGTGAGGAAACACCCTTATTGCACCTTTCCCCTGCTGGGCAGCATTGAAAGTCCTGACTCTGCACTGTTCTCCTCTGACGTCACCCTGGTGGGGAGGGAAACGAACATCTCCTTAGTGCCCGTGAAAGTCCAGACTCCCCACGTGGTCCCCACTGCCTCCTGGGTTGTGGGATCATAACCAGGCATGTGGGGATGACAGTGGAGGCTTCCTATTTTGTGTCCTCCAGACCATATTGTCAGAGGAATTCGGGTGCCTTTTTACAGCCTGCAGAAGATGGAGGTCGAGGTCCTCACTCAGTCTTTTCTCCATGGATGTTGGTAGCCAGTTTTTTTCCTACTTTTTGTGGAGTAGAGGGGACAATGTCTAACATTTTTCTTTCTTATTGGGCTGTTTTTTCACTGGTCCTATGGCTAAAAGAACAAGTTTGTGTTGGGGCTTTCTTTGTGTGTTTATGTTGGTGTTTGCAGGATGCCAGCGCCTTCACCTCTAAGTCTGGGATATGTGAGCAAAAGGAAAACTCAGGGAGCTTACTGTGGCCTTTCTTGGATGCCATGGTTCTTAGTCCTTCTCTCCGCTTTCTAGAATATTCTGTGACATATAGAGATTCTATTTCCCCTTCTCTACTTATCACTTTCATACTCACATTTTCCATTTAGAGAAATTTTGTCATCAAGCTCAATATGTAAAATTTCTTTTTCATCATACAGGTCCTACCTAAATAAATTGTTTGTTGTATTTCTCTATTTTCTACTTTCTCCCAGCTAGAACTGACATATTTCTGAAAGTGTTCACATGCAAGTACAGCCACTGCCACTTTCAAAGGAAGGGTTGGTTAGAGCAAGGTGAACAGAGACAGGGAGGGAAGCAGTGTCACTTCCTACCCTAGTCCTTGTGTGCACAGTAGAAATTGGATTTCACAGAAGATCTTTGCAAACATATTTCTCGGACATTTTCTTTCAGCTCCCCTTTTCCCGATTTGGAAAACCTTGATGTTGCTTTCTGTACCCCTGGGACTTATCATTATTGGAATATTTTGCATTTGGAAATGCTACAAGAAAAGCAAACGAGACAGTCAAGATGGTACTGTTCCCATAGGTAGGTTATAGCATATTAGGTTTTTTGTCATGGGTGTTAATGTCAGCTGAGGAATCAAATTCTTGATGAGTCGTTGCAATAGAGTCCTTTTACATGATTTTCAGAATGAAATTCCAATTGTCTGGAGCTCTGAAGAGGAATGGGGGATTTTATCACAGAATCACAACCCAGGTCCTTAATTAAAACATGAGAACCAATGAAGTCTCATCACCAATTCCCACCCCTTGGGATACAGTACTGGGAGGTGGAGGTGGGACATAGGATCATCCACTGGGTGATAGGCGTGTGTGGGGAGAACGTGATGAAGACACACATTCAACATGTGACACCTGAGCATGGACTCTGGGCTGTGGTGTTGTCTGGGAATGGGTACAGGGTCCCAGGGCTGCCTTCACTCAAGTCCCTCACATACCACAACAGTCTCTTACTATCTAAACAACTGTACCTAACCCATCAAGAACTTGCAGGTTATGTCTAAGGTAACAAAAGGAAACAAAACACATTTCTTATTTTTGATTGATTGATGTTTTTTCAGTTAACAGATACAGATAGTAACAGGCTTCCAGTGTCTTTCCAACGCGTATTTTCTTCCCCCTCCTCACATCTGCAGCTCCAGAGGGCCTTTTGAAGTATTTCTATTCATTTTACAGAGAAGCTCCTAAAAATTTGATTTGTTTAGGTTTGTCATCTATTGTAAAATATGCAAGAATTTCTCTCTGTAACCTGACAGTGACCCGTGATTCTGTTTTATTTCAGATTGGGAACTGGCTCGATTACATGCAGGTCAGTGGCTTGGCTCTTCTCTAGGCTCCGAGATATAAACTTTCAAGTATCCAAAGACCTAGAATAGGTGGAACTGAAAAGCACTGATACTCTTAGTAACAAACAGAAAAAGATGTTAAGTTGTGGAAAAAGCTTAGTATTTCTTTGGGACACATATGGAGCCATTTTAAGATAGCAAGAGATAAGCTCTCTCTGAGAGGATCCCATTAGGCCTTGCAAGCCCTAGGGACAGTTAGCTCTTATATCACCCCATGGCTGCTGATGAGGCAGGGAGCTGGGGGAATGGAGACCCCTGAGCAGGCCAAGCAGCTCTCCCTCTGAGAGGACTTGTCAACTCCTGTAACAATGCTCTCTTTCTTTGGAGAAGGAAGGTGTCTTAATCAGTTTTCTGTTCTTTGTAACAAAATACCTGAAGCTGGTAATTTATAAGGAAATGGAATTTATTTTTTACTGTTTTGGAGGCTGAGAAGTTGAAGGTCTGGGGGGTGCATGTGGTGAGGGGTTTCTTCTCGGTGTGGACACTACAGAGTCTTGAGGTGGCACAAGGCATCAGCTGGCAAGAGGAGAAGAGCTTGCTAATGTGCTCGCCTGATCTCCTTATGAACCCACCAGTCTATGTCCATAATGATGCATTAATCCATTAAGGCAGTAACCCGTGAATGGGTTAATCCATTCATAAGGGCCTAACCTTTATGATCGTATCCCTTCTTAAAGGCCTCTGCCTTTCAAATACTATACTCAATTTTCCCACTCTCTCAATACTGTTACAATGGGGATGAAGTTTCAACATGAGATTTCGAGGGAACATTCACACCATAGTGGAAGGACAGGCCCTATAACCTCTGACGTTCCCTGATGGTCACGCTTGCTCCCTGTCCCTCTCTCTCTTCTAGTTGATGTGACTCTGGACCGAGACACAGCGTATCCTTCCTTTTTTCTGTATGATGATTCAAAATCTGTTCATCTGGAAGATTCACATCAGGAATTGCCTGAGAATCCAGAGAGATTTGACTCGTGGCCCTGTGTGCTGGGCTGTACGCGCTTCACCCAGGGAAGACATTACTGGGAGGTGGAGGTGGGAGGCAGGACCGACTGGCTGGTTGGCGTGTGCAGGGAGAACGTGATGAGGAAAGGATTCATCCTCATGACTCCCAAGAGTGGCTTCTGGGTTATAGAATTGTCTGGAAAGGAATACTGGGCCCTCACCCCACTCCGAACTCCTCTCCTTGTGAGTGAAGTCCCCCATCGGGTTGGGATTTTCCTGGACTATGAATCAGGAACCATCTCCTTCTACAACATAAATGACAGATCCCATATCTATACTTTTCCCAAGGAATCTTTCTCTGGCCCCCTCTGTCCTTTATTCTGCTTGTGGTCATGTGATGACAAACCGCTGACCATCTGTCCAATTGTTGACGGGCCTCCGGAGGTCACAGTCCTTGCTGATGTTCAGGAGCTTTCTAAGCACTTTCTGATGTCCCCCATGGAGGGACCCAAAGAAGGATGACACAACACTTCAGCATCTTGACTGGATTGTTCCTCTGGTGTGGCCACACCAGCTGGAAACTGACAAAGAGACTGCAAAGGGAAAGCAGAGACAGGAAATAGTGATGGAAAGACTGGAGGGATGGAGAGGGGTGTCTGAACTTGATCTCAGAACAGCATGATAAAAAGAAAGGTGGAGTCCCGGTAGCAGTGGTTGTCTTTAATGCCTGCGTAATGGAATAACAGCGGGAAGCTGGATCTGCATGGAGTGTTGCCATTTCACAGTCTTTTCATGCAAGGACTTTATTTTATTTTGATCCACATAAAACTCTGGGAAAAACTAAACAAAGCTTATAGAGAAGAGTCACTTTTCCATGGCACCCTGCTGGTCTGGGATTTGACCCAGCGTCTAATGATCTTATGTGTAATGCCACATCCTCTCCTCTCTCAGAATTCAATAAATCTTCAATGAAGCAATTTCAGTGTTCCCTGTAGCACTTTTCACCTCATATTTTTCAAGATTTCCTTTCCAGTTTGCAAATTTATTTTTCCTTTCTGTAAATAACTTCTAGCCTAAAATATTCTACCTCATCAATAGTTAAGTGCATGTTCTCTAACTTTTTATATGTTTCTACTAATAGACACTTGTAGTTTTCTAATAAAATTGGATCGGGGCCGGCCTGTGGCTCACTCGGGAGAGTGCAGTGCTGATAACACCAAGGCCACGGGTTCGGATCCCATATAGGGATGGCCGGTTTGCTCACTGGGTGAGCGTGGTGCTGACAACACCAAGTCAAGGGTTGAGATCCCCTTACCGGTCATCTTTAAAAAAAAAAAAAAAAATTGGATCATGCTATAAATGTTATTTCCTTACATTCTTATTTTATGTAAACACCAGTATTACATTATGCATAATCATGATGGTTTTCTTTCTTTCCTATTACAATTAATGCTGCTATAAACATTTCTATGTAAATCATTATGCAAAGCTCTGATAAATTACACAGAATAAAGGTATGAATTGCATTTGTCATGAGAATAAATTCTCGAACGTGCAATTGCTGGACAGAAGGGACTTGAATTATACTTACATATATGTACATACCTATCTTATTTCCTATAGGCAAGAAGTAACTGCACATATTGTTTGGTCTCTCTCAGGCTTATCTCTTTAACAGTAGAAGCCCACCCTTCAATTAATATTTCTTTGGCACCAATCCAGGACATCTCAGTCTTCTCAAGGAAAACCTCCAAACTATCAACGCTGAGGAGGAGAACCAAGCTTACTTTTTACTTAGCATACATGTGCATGACTTATTCTGTGTGAGGCACTCTTGTGAGCAAGTTGCCTGTATTATTTCATCCTCACAACAGCCATCCAAGAAGTCAACTACTTTTATTATTTTACAGATAGGGAAACTGAGGCACAGAGAAGTTGTATAAGTGGCCCAAAGGAACACAGGTAGCCTGGCTTCAGAGACTGTGCTCCTTTCCACTCAATTCTGGAACCTCTCCTCACCAATTTTGAACTTCAGTGCCTGAGACCTACTAGATGGTAGGTTAGTAGGTTCTCAATAAAAAGTTATTGAATCAATGAATTTTTTCCTGACCCATTTCGCATGCTTGTATCTCCCAGGATTTCTTTCCCAGGGCTTTGGGTAGAGGACTGGCTGAGAAGTGGACTCATGGCTCTGTTTCCTTGGAAACTACAAATGCAGAGAACTAAAGTGTCATGCCCAGAAACTCCTGATCTCAAGCTCAGCACCTCGGCTACTTGTTTGTGTCAAAGTAACTTGGATCCTCCAGGCAAGAGTGGGATGTTTCATTCTACTGACATAATTTCAAGCCCCAAAACCTAGATTGTGAATTTAAAAATAAACAAATGAATAAATAACAATGGATGGATGGGGGATGAACAGATGGATGGATTATAATAAAATGAAAAAGTTTATTAAAATGTTAATTGTAGAATTCAGATGGCAGGTATATTGGTATTCAGTGAAAATTCTTTCACTTTTGCTATAAGCTTGTCGTAATAAACTGCGGAAGTTGGGGGTGGGGGGCGATTGAGAAGAGAAGAAGTGTGTTTTCCTGCTGATAACAGACCAGAAGTACCACTGGCTTAAACAATACAAGAGTTTATTTTTCTTTCGTGAAATGAATTCAGAGGGTTGCAAACTAGGACTTGTCTAGCAGCTCAGAGATGTCATCCATACCCCAGCCTCTGGAAACCAGAAAATTATATTATTTGGTAATGCATCCTAGACCCGAATGTTGGAGGTGCTTAAAACGGTTCATTGTGTCTGGTTTTCTTTCTCTGCCTGCTTTCATTTAGCTCTGTAGTAAAGGATTGTCCTCTTGCATGGACCCATCCACATGCAAGCAGATGTTAGTTACCTGACCGCCACAGAAGCGTTTTCATTCATTCGCATCTTCCCTTCTTCACACATCAAAGTCTTTTTATTTTTCCACTCAGTTCTTCTATTATAAAAAAAAGAAATAAAAAAGGGGAATGTTAAATAATACTTACTATACAAGGGTACTTTAAAAAGTTCGTGGAAAAACAGAATTGAAAGATAACACGAGGCTTTCCATGAACTCTGTGAAGGACTGTCATACGCATATCACACAAGAATGATTCAACCAGGCAAACCCAGAGAAACGCGAACACTAAGGGAGGCAGGGCTGGAATTTTCCTCAGTGTGTACAGTTCGATGCAGTTTCAGTTTTTATTCCGATGCAGTTTCAGTTTTTATTCTGACCTTCACCAGTGGTTTCTGCCCAGCAAGTGAGGAAACAACACCTCTGAGCCAATCACAGAACTGATTCCAAAGAGCAGCACTTACTGTTTCTCACCGTGAGCAGACAAACTCTGGTTACTTTCTTTTTCGTTTCTTCCACATGAGAGATTCTCAGTGTAACAGAGAGGACTGGTAAGTACTGATTACCCTTCTTCGGTGGGCTGTGATTTTCAGACGGACTACCAGGGGGTGAGTGGGGGAGACCGATTAGAGCCAGGGCAGCAGGGCCTGGGAGGGGACGTGCTGAGAGCTGAGGGGGGCCTGCAGGGAGGGGCTGGCACAGAGAGAGGCTGAGGGGCTTGGGGTGGGGGGTGGGAAGGCAAAGGGTAAGGACCTGCAGAGGTTGGGATTTGGTGGAAGGGGGATGACCTGAACGAAGAAACTTTCCAGCTCCATGTTCTTAAGAACATATTATGGTCTGAAAGGAGCAAGGGACCCTTAAAATCTGTTCTGGTTATCTCTAGCATTTCTAGTGTATTCTGCAGCAGCTTTCAGGCAGGGGTGGAGGGAGAGCCAGCTGCACAGACCTCTGTCCCTCTGTTGTAGAAACACAGACTAGGCAAGAAGTATCCCAACACTCGGAAAGTTGGAGAGCCAGGAGTTTATTACACTAGCAGGTCCAGACAAGCTCGTTCTCTGATATTCTGGACCCTGAACCTAAGACTGACAAGCTTTTTACAGGCGGACACTTCCAGGGCTATTTACACATTTTTTTCCTCTTTTTTTCAGTATTTCAGCTAGCATATGTGGTCTGTGCAGATAACAGCTCATTTACAGAAGCCAAACCATGATTAATAGCCAGACTTGATAATGATGAACAAGATAATGCTGTTAGAACATAGCAGGCGTAGGAGAAAATTATTTCAAACTAGTGGAGCTAGCAAATATAGTTTCAAGGACAAAACAGGCTTATGAGAAAGTTACTTTTGTATTTGCACACGACACCTAGTCCCCTTCTTCCCTCTCCGCATGCAAAAGCAGACCTCCTCAGAAGCAGTTCCCAGACCCAGGTACCCAAGGCACAGGGACTGTGACTTCATCCTCGGGCTCCTTTGTTTGGGAGGAAACGTTGTGAAGAGTTAATATTTACTGAGCAGCTAGTATGAGCCAGTCACTAGAATGACCCATAACAATTACAATTAAGTAATCGGTAAAATTGTGAAAAAGGAAAACATTCACATAAATTTAAGGAAAAGGGAGCAGTGGGCCAAAGTGTCCTTTCACTGCCCTAACCTCCAGTCTGCAGTTCAGCATGCAGCTTTTGAGACCTTTTGAAGGCATTTACACATGTATGTGTGCACAAGTCTATAGCTTTGCTTTTGTTTACTTATACAGTCAGTTGGACAGCTCTGCAGCGTGCTTGTTAATCACTTAGGACATCTCCATTACACAGGTTAGTGACAACAAACCACTCTTTCCAATTGCGGAGTGGAATTCCCTCACAGGGATAAGCCCTCACCTTTCTCACCAGTCTCCTGAGGGGGCCGGGTCAATTCGTACTATTTGCATACATTGCAAAGCAATGCCACTGTGCCAACCTCTGTACTCGTGGCACTAATGTGCTGGACTAGACATCATGAGTGCAATTGCTGAGTGAATTGTGCACATTCTGATTTTCACATTTCCCAATGTTTTAGGTGTTACTAAAGTTCACATAGGTTTTGTCACGACGAGGATCACACAGCTTGTGGATCACAGTGCCATTACCTATTTTCTACCCTCTTGCTGTCCCTAACAAGTAACTTAGTGGGCCTGGCACATTGTGGGTTCTCAGTAAGTATTTGTTGACTGACTGAAGGAAGGAAAATGCAGGTGAGACCTGGTCCTACTCCCAGCTCTCCCACTCACTGGCCTTGTGATTAAGAAGCAGTGGGTTCAGCCCCTGACTACCTCTAGGGAGTCTGCCCAGATCCTGCCCAGATTCTGCTGGGCTGCGATGTGACTATGCTGATGGTCAGGAGTTGGCGTCTGGAGGAGTCCACAGTGTTACTCCCAGCAGGGGACACCCTCCAGTCACTTTGTCTGGAC